CCACTACCACCACCACCACCATCATCATCATCATCATCATCATCATCATCATCATCATCATCATCAGCAGCCTCATCATCATCATCACCATCCCCACTACCACCACCACCACCATCATCATCATCATCATCATCATCATCATCATCATCATCATCATTATCATTATTATCATTATTATCATTTTTATCATTATTATTATCATTATTATCATTGCTATCATTGCTATCATTATTATCATTGTTATCATTATCATTATTATTATTATTATTATTATTATTATTATTATTATTATTATTACTTTATTATGCTTTTTTCTTATATTCTTTAAACGATTTGTCAAATAACTTTATAATAGAAAATATGTATTAAATATAAAAAAAATTATGATATTAAAAATGTACTTATTAAATCAAATGTATCATTTTCAATTTTAATTTTTGAATACGTGTTCAATGAATTTGTTGAATACGTTTAAAAATTCAACTATATTTTAACTTCAATGATTCTTATAATAAATTATATTTGCATATTATAAGATATGATATAGATATAATCAATATCGCATTAATGCTATATAAAAATATAAAATAAATTCTCACGTCAATCAATCATTAATCAACATATTAATAATATCAAATTTTCATTCGTCAAAGATCAAATTCTTCTAAATTTCACATAAATCGCAGTCTTTCGTATCATTTATTTCGAAACGAATGAATGAACGGATGGATATACGCAACTCACCTTTGCAACGAGATCACTGTAATTACTCTGATCGTGAAAGTATATCGTAGGATGGATGACTCGTTTGATCCATGTTCATCAAACGATCGAGAAGGCGAAACGTTAATCGAAAGGGAAACGACTTTCAGCAGACGCATAAGTAGATTGCAAAACAAGTACGCGTGCGATTTACTGTCATCGAGTGGCGGGGATTGTCGATAGAGAAACCAGAAATGCAATGGGAAGATACTATCACATTAACTAAAAGATCAATTAATTCGTGCTAATGAATTTTAATCACTATATGAATCCAATGATGAACATTGGATTTATTGGATTTATTGTAAACAAATTTTCGATCATGTGTTAAACAATTTATTTTTATGAATACTGTTTATTTTTATAAAATAATGTTCAGTCGATTAAAATGTTTAATCTGATTAATTTATATATAAGATATATATATAAGATATTAATTACAAGAAATTGGGATTAATCGTTAATTAAAATTAATTGTCGATAGTTAATTTTAATTAAATTTAATTTATAATGATCATTTCACAATACATTCTATAATAGATGTATAGATTTTTCTAATAAAATGTATATAATAAGTGAGTAATAGTTTTTTCGAAACATTATATATTTAATCGAAGTAATCATAATAACAATATATTTTACATGAATTTTATATATATTGTATATATATAAATTTATAGAATAACAATAGAATATTTTTCTTAAAAATTTATATTAAAAATTAACACATTAACATAATTAATCAATTATAATTCAATAAATTTATTTTATATCTTATATCATAATGTTTTTCTTCGTATATTTTATATTTCTATATAAAAAATAAAATATAAAATATATAAAATATATAACTATATAAAATAATAAAATATTTGCCAAAAATTTATTAAAACGAGACAAATAATTTAAATCTAATTTAATATTTTTGTACAATATTGTTCAAATCATTAATTATTTTCTTAAAATTTGCTTAAAAGAAATATTACAAAGAAAATTAAGATAACGAGTAATTTTAGGAAAGTAAATTAAAAATTTTCAATTTTTTTTTTACATCTTTGATATGTAGAAGTTTCATTTCTACTGATATTTTAAATTTGAATTCTTTGAGTTATTAAAGAAGGATATTTTAGAGAAAAAATATTTGAAATATTTATATTTAGTTAGAATTTAATAAAAAATATAATATTAAGAAAAATATTTTCCATTTCTAATTTCTATTTTCATTTCTGAATATTATCAAATTATATATAAATTAAATATTTAAAAAAAAAATTGTCAAAAGTAGAAAATAATAAAAAAAACTTAGAAAAGAAAAAGAAAAAAATATCAATTAGAATGATAATAGAATTCCGAAAAACATGTTAATAAATAGTATAAAAGATTATATCTCAAAAATATGTGAGTTAAAAATTTTGCTAAGAAACAGAGGCGCAAAATAAAAAACCAATGCAGTTTGATACAATTACGAGGTTTCGAGTCTCGTCTTGTTTCTTTCTCTCTTGTTAAATCCAAAAATAGTCTCTACCAGCTTTCATGAGTGGTTCAATCTTTGTTGTTTCTCTCTTTCTTTTGCTTGCTCTTTTATTTTATCTGCTTGCGGCGAGAATCATGGAATAAAGATTGTACCTCATCTTAATGTATGAATCTACCACGACTCGATCCGAATTTCCTTTATTTTAGTCTCATCTCTTTTGTTTCATCGTATGTAAGAGAAAAAAATAACATCGTTTTGAATACTGATAATCGAGGAACAATTCTTTTACGACTTTGCTGCATTTAAAGTGTATCAACGAAACATACGTTATATATGCTATTTATTGAATAAGAAATTTTATCAAATGAGTGTTAGACTGATCAGTATCGAGTTTCATTGTTGAATGAAATTAATATTTTAATTATTTATCATATTAATTAATTTTTTTTAAATAATGTATATATATTACTATCGTAAATAATAATAAGATTGATTTAAAATTATTATAAAATTATTATTTTTTTTTATTTTTATTTTCTTTGAGAATTTAGAAAATATTAGTATAATTAGTTTTTGAATTTGATATCATTGAATGATTAATTTTTTAAATAATTACAATATTTAATTATTAACCTTATTATTGTTAGATATTCTAATAATAAAATTTATTAAAAAATAAATATATAATTAAAAATGAAATATTTATATGTGTATACTTTTATTTTTAATTATTAGTGAAATATTTGTATTTATATATAATAAACTATAATATAGCTTTATAGTATTAAATTTTGAATACAATATAATATTAAATATTAGTTAAATATTATTTATTTTATTAATTATTTAAAAAAATATCGATTTCAATGATTTCGAAATATATTATTAAGAGTAATATTTTGAATAATTTTCTTCTAAATACATGTAAATAGTCTTGATTTTAATTTTCAAAATATTCGCAGAAATATTATCAATGTTATATATCGCATTTCTAAGATTTGATTTATAAACTTAGGATATTTATAGATAATTTTGAATTAATTTTGATTTAGTTTAGATAATAAATAGAAAATATAATTACAAATTATAAAAAAAATTTATTATATATAATAATTAATAGATATAATTTGTAGTTTGATTGATGTAAATAATTTGATTGATATAAATAGTTTGATTGATATAAACATATTTAAATATCAATTCAGATAAAAGATGATCTAAAATAAGGTTTTCATTTTATCTTTTTATAATATGGTTACTTATATTAAAATCAAACAAATGTAATCCAAATCCGATAAATTATTCTATAAAATTTTAGAAAACTATATAATTAAAATAGTTATCAAAAACATATTATATGTGTATAATAACATGTATAATAACAAAATAGCTTCTGAATGTTGATTAGAATCATTTCTATATCATATTAAAATCAATGTCATTAAAACTGAATTTTTTAAGCTATATATGTATATTATGTATAACTAAATACGATGCCTAATACTAAACATATTTTTGAATAATATTTCAAAAATTAAGATTGAATATTGATTACATCTATAAAAAAAATTTCAAAATGATAACATTCGAGATCATTAAAATTAATAAATGTAATAAATAATTATCATTTCTTTTCTTAATATAAGAAATTATCAAATTAAAATAAAATTGTTGCTGAATTAATTATTAATTGTTGAATTAATTATTAATTAACAAAATTATAATGTTCAGTTTTAAATATAATTTATCTTTCAATGAAGTTTATATTTGTAACATAATATGAAATTGATATGAAATATAATAAAATTGAATGTATTTGGATATCATGAATATAAAGAAATAGACAGATTATTTAGAAAAATGCGAATTGCTTGAATATGTTTTATATTATATTTGATAACATAGAAGTATTTTAAATTATAAAATTGTTTTAAATCTAATAAAAGAATTTATACAAGAATTTATTTTGCTTTTTTTTTTTATTTTTTATTAAATTTCTTTAATATTGTAATAACAAGTCTTTCTTCTTTTTTTTGTAATTATAAAATTTAAAAAAGTAATTGATTTGTAAGCTTTTGTTTTTTTAATTAATTTATTTTTTTTTTAATTTTTTAATTTATTTATAAAACTTTTACTTAGAAAGTTTTTCTTTCTAATTAAACTATATAAAAAACTATATAAACTGTATAAAAAACGAATTAATGTTTAATTAATTCTTGAAAATTTGAATCTTTGTTTTTTTGAATTTCTTCCTTTTAAATTTTTATTTATTTTAAAAAAAAAACTTTTCCTATATACAATTATTTATTTATTTACAATTTTGTGAATTTGTAAATGTTCTATAATCTTTTGTATTCAAATAATTTATTAATAATATTTTAAATAATATTTATATATTATTATATATATTATTAATATTATGAATAATATTTATATATTTCAAATAATAATTATAATTAATATTTTCTTGTAATGAAATTTTTAATAATTTTTATTTTCTATTTTTAATTCTATTTAAAACAAAATTTTTTATAAAATAATTTACATAATTTATTTCTCAAATATTCTAAAATATTTACACAACTTTTTTTTTTTTGTTTTATTCGAATGTACTAACTGAAGTGTAAAGAATTGTTTGATTTAGTTTTTTAAATCGATTATTTTATCCTCACAATTTCAATGTGACAATCGTTACAATTCATAAACATCTTCATTGGAAAAATATTCAGATTTCAACAAAGCGGGATTAAAACGCTTTTAAAATCGAATATTGTTAGCAATATGTTTTTGTCAATAAATTTAGCCTCGTGATAAACATCTTTTAAGAGTAGTCAGGGTTTAATTTTAATAATCGGCTTCATATTAATTATGAAAGATCTTAAATTTATTTCTGAGATAAATAATTAGAAAAAGAAACATAAAAAGCATAGTAACGAAAAAAGCAAATTGTATGTTCCTAATGATTATTATATAAAGCAATCATGTATTAGTTTGATCTTCTTAATTTTTTTATTTTCTGCAAAATTTCAAATCATCGTTATCAAAGTTGTTTTAAACTAAACAATCAAAAATTTCAACACAAATTTTTTCATAACAATTCTTGTTTTCATTAGATCATTGAATTAATAATTTTTCGTAGCAATATAAATTGATTTTAATATTAACAGTTTATCAGCTAATAGGAAAAATCGAAATATTTTTATTTATTATTTGTTTCATATTTGTGATTTATTATTAATATGCTTCAAATGATTTTTTTTTTAATAAATAATAGATTTTTAAAAATTAGATATGTTCGATCTCTAATTTAATGAATTATTCAGACAAATAGAATAATATCTATCTATTTATCTAAAAAATTCGAATTTAAATTTTTTTAAAAAGATTTTTTTAAAATATAGCAAACATTTTTCCAAACACGAATTTTTGATTTTATTATGAATAATAAATTATGGATGTCACTGCGCAAAAACAATAAAAAAGAAAATGCTAAATATTTATAAAATTTATTATAATGAATTTATTGTTATTTATTATAATATATTTATTGTAATGAAATGGCGAAAATGCTTGAGAATTATATAGTATTTTTCGATGATGCGATTAATTACTTTTCACACGTACCACGAACGAATGTCAAGAATAATAAGGTTTTAAGAATTTATCTCTTATGATTGATCATTGGTTATATTTTAACTTTTTTTCTTAGAAAGTTGTGTACAGATTAATTAATTTTTTTAATTGCAAATTTATTTTATTTATTCTATATATATTTCAACATATAATGTATATTTTCTTTTAACATAATATTTTTTCTAAAATCTATATTATAAATGAATTATATAAATTCGATTTTTTAAAATTTGTTAATATTAGAATATATGAATAAAATAATGAATGAAATATATTTATTTTTCAAATATTATTAAGTTGAATAATCTATATTCATATACATATATTCATACACATAATAATTTATATTCTCATATTCACAATTCTCCATTGATATGAACAGATATAGTATAACTTGTTAATTAAATTCGTCATTTTCATTTCAATCATTTCTTGTGATTTTTCATAATTTCTTATACACAATTCTTATTGTCATAAAAAAAAGTTTTTTTAAAATCAGCTTTAAAATTAGCTTTTTAAAATCACATTTTTTATTGTTTGAATGAAGTTTATATTGAACCATCTTTCCTAAAATATATATTCTAAAAAATAAACTTTATCTGAAACCAGATAAGTTTAAAAAAAGAAATATATATTGTATATATATATTTCTTCTATCGCACCTATAAAAATTTCGCTCTTCAAATTTCTCCAACTTTATAACTTTTTATATTTTCTTATGTTAAAAATACATATATAAAAATATTTCAATTTAATAAATGATTAATGAAATAAAAATTTGGAAATAACAAAAATCAATATTTATTGAATTAATTCTGTTTAAGTTCAAAAAAAAGAAAAAAAAATGAAAAGAAAAGACAAAGAAAAAAATAAAAGACAATGTCAATATCCGTTTTATAACGATAGTAAGGACATTTCTTTGTTATTCTAACTGTTTTCACGAAAAATTCTTTACCAAACATGGTTGTAACGCCGGTTTAGTATCTTAATCTAGTGATCACAGTCACGCGAATTGTCTCATTCGAAGTATGCGGCCCTTTCGTGAGAAGGAAAATAAAGTCGTCGAACTCAACCCCCAAGTATGGGTGTTTGAACCACGGACAATTATCGCTATTAGATGGCCTTGAGAGATGAAGCGCATACGAGGTCACCCTTGCAAGCTCGAAAGGCGGCCAAGATCCTACACGGATATTTGCGAACGCAGGTTGAATCTGAAATTGTGATACCTGTGTATCGTTCGCTCCTTTTTAAAAAGTGAAAATGCTATAGAAGGGATTGATTAATCGCACTTTATTTCATTGCTTGGTAATTGGAAATTGATTGTTAAGAATTTTATTTATTCGAAATGAAACTTCAATGATTTTGTTAATGATTTATTTAATTAAAAATATTTTTCCAACAATTGGAAATAATTCTTTCTTTTTTTTGAAGTATTTTTATTTTTTGAATGAATTTCTTTATTTTCTATTATTTAATTCACATTTCATTAAAAAAATATCCGTTAATCATTTTTTGTTTAATCATTAAAGAGAATAAGAGAAACAAAAAAATTTATTAAATTATATGAAATAATTGTAGGGTATTTAGCAAATCAATTATTTTTATAGATATCTTTGTATTTTTCTTGTTCGAATAATGTCATTTGTTGTAGAAAATTTGAAAATTTTATATTGTATGTCAAAATTTCAAATTGACATTCCGAATACATCCTAATCATCTAAATTAAAAAAATAATAAGTAGATTATTATTATAAATTTACAATTTTGTTAGAAAGTTTTTTTTTAATATACCATAGTTTTATTTCAAGTAATATATATTTATAATATCTTTATATAATATAAAATTTATTCTATATCTCAAAGAAAATGGCAAATTCCTTTCGCTTAATGTTGATATATGTTTTTTATAACGATATTTGAAAAATTCAAAAAAATAGTGAAAATTAAACTGATAATAACGATATTCGATATATTTAAAAGATGTGTATTTGATTACACGATTGATAATAAAATAGTAATGTTGTAGTAAAATAGTAAAATTATGCTCGAGATTATAGCTTTGTATGATGCTTTATGAAAGATAAAATAAAATTAAAAAATTCAAAGTAGCTTATCGCACAATCACGAGTTTATTGTCACCATTGCACATCGTCATCATTATTCTCGTAACTGTCAATAATCTATTTGCAGGTATATGTTTGAGTGTCTCATCAGATTGCATGATGACAATGGAGACCATTATCACTCGTCGCATTTCATTGCGATCATCAACGTTACATGTGCACATGTTCGAACAACACGTTCTCATTGTGTGCATGCGAAAATAATCTTGTTGACAGTCATATTTATTATAATTTGAAAAAATCAAATCAACTGTTATGTGACAATCAAAAGGATAGATTCCACAGTAAATGTGTTTTATAATACATGATTTTATATAAATTTGTTTTTTTCTTGTTAAATATCATTAAGAAAGTTTAATATAAGATATTATCAAAGTTTTAAATATTTCTATATATCTAAAATGCTAAATTTTAAAAATTCACAAAGAATCTTCGTAATCTTGCTTATTAAATTACATAAATTTTTTTTTAAGTTTAACTCCAAATGCTAAAAAAATTTTTGACGAATGATATAAACTAATTTTTCAAAGAAATTCAGATACAATAAAACAAATTGATTTCTCACAAAATAATAAATTTCTTACTTAATAATTATTTCTTAAAATTTAAAATTTTTACTCTAAATTTATTAAATAAATAAAAGAGATATATAGTATTTAGTGTTTTTCTGGGCAAAATATGAAAAGAAGCATTACACTGCGAATACGGTCAGTACTTTTATTTACGACTGCAACCAGTACTATCCTCCGATTTGACTCTAAATCGATAGAAGCGATTTCTCTAACCGCAATAAGGACAACCGCAAATAGATCAATATATATAGCCTCACAGCCACGCATATGCATATACTTGTATTAATGTTTTTGTATACATATAAGAAATCCATACATACTAACTTTACAAGTTTCCCGCTAAAGATATTAAAAAAACATTTCTAAGACTGTGATAAAAAAAATTAAAATGTTTTTTTTATTTACGTGCATATAGAACTGTATATAGAACGTGCATATGTAACTGTATTATTTTCATTATTAGTAAACTGATTAAAATTTTTTACCATATATTCAAATTGATGATATGTAAATTTTTTTATGTAAATATGTTCTCATTTTTTTTTTCACAATCATATTCAATCTTCTCATGTATAATTTTATATATATTTTTTTTATGTTTAACTTTACAGAATTTATCCAAATATTTGCTAATCTGACAATCAAAAAGAATTAGAAATAAGTAAAAAACAAAAAAAATATGGAAAAAAAATTAAATGTCATCACATTGAAGATCTTTTAGAATCATATTGTTTCTCTCGTGTTAAAATTACAAATATATACATTTCTCTTTGAGAAAATGGAATGAACTTTGGTATCTTTAATTTCATATTACAATGATAAGCAATATTATATAATGAAATTGAAATATTAATTAAAATATTAATATTTGAAAAATTTTGATATCGATAATTATTTTAATATATTATATCATTATAACATTTAAAATAAAAAAAATTTCATAAATTAAATTATCGAATTATATATATATGGTTCTAGCATAAGAGAAACGATATTATCCAATAAGAAAGTATAATCGATTCAGTAATATTACTTAAAAAAAAGAAAAAAAATGAAATAGTCATATTATATATACCATCATAAGAGATAAAACATAAATCTCAATCGATGAGATTAAAGATTGTCTCACAGATTTATATTAAAAGCACAGCTTTGCTTGGCTTACAGGTCGGTGATCGGGTCTAAGAGGGAAGGAGAGGGGAGATAGAGAGTATAGAAAGAAAAGAAAGGTGACAGCATTTAAAGGCCAGGGTATTAAGGCACACTTGTGTGCGAGGGTTTCGAGGTAAGAGAGAAAAAAAGAAAAAATACAACGAAAAAGAGAGTGAGAGAGAAAAAAGAAAAACTGGTTGGTGTCCGACTCTATGTTATGATTGGGAGTGAAAAGACGGGAAGATGCTCGAGGTTCAACAAACGGAGTTTTTAAGAGAGGGAGAAGCCTGCAACCCTCCTGTCGACTTACTACATCCTGATTCGACCGGAACTTCCGTTTCCGAGCGGAAGTCCGCTGAAAGAAGCGTCTCCTTCAATCGAGACGTCCACGTCAAGAGGATCGGTGAGTCCAGGCAATCACACCATATAAAAAAGAATAAATAGCATTGAGACAATAATGCAGATTCGGAATGAATTGGTTTAACGTTGCTTGATTTTATTTTGCTATCTTTTTTGTTTTTTTTTATAAATATTTATATAAATAAATATATAATAAAAATATGTATATAAATAATATTTTTACACAATATATATAATATATAATACGAACAATGTCACAAGAAGTCTGAGATGATACAAAAATAAAAGAAATACATTCTTTTCTTTTGTTTACCAATATATAGTGCTGTATTATCTGTGATGTCATATTATTAATTTAGCCAATGAATATACTTATTTTTATGAGTATATTAAAATATCAATCAATCTGACTTATATTTCTTCCAAAATTTCTTGTTACTTGCAAAATATATATGCTATTATTCTAAAGCATTGAATAGATATTTATTTTGAAGAGAAATCACATATTGTATTTTAATTATAAAACTAATTTTAATTACTATTATATTTTAATTATACAATTAATTATAGAAAGATTTATCATTTATATGAAAAGATAATAAATAATGATTGAAATTAATCATTAATTTATCGTTCATTTATATACTTCGATAATAAAATATATTCCCAATCGTAACATTTATAAGTATTGTAACAAATTAATGTAATATATTCAGATATTTACAAATGATAGGTATTATATTCAAGATTGAATATTTTAATTATTTTTTGTTTCTTTTCTTTTGTTTTTTATTTACTAATATGAATAAAACTACAAGAAAAAGTATAATTAAAATAATATTTAATAAGAAATATATGTAATAATAAATCTATCTATTAATTATTTATAATATTTTTGGCTTCATTTTTGTTTTTAAAATTTCTTTTAAGACATTTATTAAATTTGAAAATTGATTTTTTTATTTTTTAAAATTATTCCAATTGAAATTGAAAAAAATCAAAACAAAAATTTGATTATTTATAGTTTATTTATTCAAGTGACTTCAGAAAGGAAAAAATGCAAAATTACCAAATTAATTTT